AAACAACTAAAAAAGAAAAACCACATTAGATGCTGAAAAAGCCTTTGACAAATCCAATACCCTTTTATGATAAAGGTTTTGGAGAGATCAGGGATAACAGAAATTACCTAAACATAATAAAAGCAATATACATTAACCAACAGCCAGTATCAAACTGAATGCAAAGAAGCTTAAGGCTATTCCCCTAAAATCAGGAACAAGACAAGGCTGCCCACTCTCTCCATACCTTTTGAATATTGTACTCGAAGTTCTAGCTAAAGCAATAAGACAACAAAAAGAGATCAAGGGGATAAAAATTGGAAAAGTTAAACTGTCACTATTTGCAGATGATATGGTAGTTAGTTTACATACATAACCTGAAAAATTCTACCAGGGGCTGAGAAATCAGAGAAACATCACCCTTTATAATAGCCACAAACAACATAAAGTATCTTGAGGTAATGCTTACCAAACAAGTGAAAGACCTATATAGTAAGAACTTTGTGTCTTTAAAGAAAGAAATTAAAGAAGATACTAGAAAATGGAAAGATCTCCCATGCTCTTGGATAAATAGGATAAACATAATAAAAATGGCAATCTTGCCAAAAGCAATCTACAGATTCAATGCAATTCCCATTAAAATCCCAGCACAATTCTTCACTGACCTTGAAAGGATAATAACCAACTTTATATGGAAAAACAAAAGACCCAGGATAGCCAAAACAACCCTGCACAATAAAGGAACTGAAGCAGGCATTACCATCCCCAACTTCAAGCTCTACTACAGAGCTATAGTCCCGAAAACAGCCTGGTATTGGCCCAAAAATAGACAGGTAGACCAATGGAATTGAATAGAAAATCCTGATATTAACCCACACACCTATGAACACCTGATTTTTGACAAAACAGCTAAAATTATACAATGGAAGGAGGAAAGTATTGTCAACCAACAAATGATGCTGGCACAACTGGACGATGGTTTGTAGAAGACTGCAGATAGACCCATGTCTATCGCCAGGCACAAAACTTAAGTCCAAATGGATCAAAGACCTCAACATAAATCCAGCCATACTGAACCTCTTAGAAGAGAAAGTGGGAGGTACCCTTGAACAAACTATTTCAGGAGCCCTCTTTCTGAACAGACACTGAGATCGACAATTAGTAAATGGAACCTCCTCAAACTGAGAAGCTTCTGTAAGGCAAAAGACACAGTCGACAAGACCAAATGCCAGCCCACACACTGGGAAAATATCTTTATCAACCCCACATCTGACAGAGGGCTGACCTCCAAAGTATACAAAGAACTCAAGACTAGTGTCAACAAAACACCAAATAACCCTATTAAAAAATGGGGTACAGAACTGAACAGAGAATTCTCAATAGAGGAATCCAAAATGGCTGAAAGACACTTAAAAAGTGCTCAACATCCTTAGCCATCAGGGAAATGCAAATCAAAACAACTTTGAGATACTATCTTACTCCTGTCAGAATGGCTAAAATGAGAAACTCCAATAGTAGCTTATGCTGGACAGGATGTGGAGAAAGGGGAACACTCCTCCACTGCTGGTGGGAGTGCAAATTTGTACAGCCATTTTGAATATCAGTATGGCAGTTCCTCAGGAAAATGGGAATCAGTTTACCACAGGATCCAGTAATTTTGCTCTTGGGCAAATACCCAAACGATCCACATCCATGCAACAAAGACATCTGTTCAACTATATTCATACCAGTATTATTTGTCATAGCAAGAACCTGGAAGCAACCTAGATGCCCCTCAACTGAAGAATGGATAAAGAAGATGTGGCACATTTACACAATAGAATACTACTCAGCAGAAAGAATCTTGAAATTCGCGGGCAAAAACTTGAAGAAATCATCCTGAGTGAGGTAACCCAGTCACAAAAAAGAGGAACATGGTATGTACTCACTCAAATATGGATTTTACACATAGAGCAAAGGATCACCAACCTATATATAATACACACCGCCAGAGAAACTAGGATATAAGGAGTAACCTAAGAGATTCATACAAGGTCCTTCACTGAAGGGGAAAGAAAGGGACAAGATCTCCTGAGCATATTGGGAGTTGGGGGAGCAGTGAGTGGAGAGGGAGTTAGGAGAAAGAAAAGGGGAGGAGAGGAGAACATGTGGGACCAGAAAGATTGAGTTCGGAGATGAATAGATGAGAGTGAAAAAAAGATACCATAATAGAGGGAGCTGTGTGGATAACAGTACTGGGATGAAATCCTAGGCAGCCTGGTTTATGCTGATATTCTACATGCTAAGTACAACTTCCAGGAATAACTCAGTAACTAAAGTTTTGAGCACAGTGTCAGTGGGCAGGAAACCACCTTAGAAGAACTGTCTCTGAAGGCCCTCTACAGAGACTTAAGAGAAGAGGGATCAACACAGCAGACATTTTACTATAAAAATGCCACTCAAGAAACAAATGCATGCCCAAGAAATGCCTTAAGGAAACACAAGAATTAATTCAGTGTATTTGAACTCAACCAGAGTATGAGTCCCTAATGTGGGGGCTCTGGACAACAAAGTAGCCAGACCTAGGATAGTAGATTCTTAGTATTATAAATTCTATGCATGAACTTTTCTTTTTAGAAAAAAATCAGTGCCAATAAATTATGAATGAAACAGATGTGAAAGGAAAAGGACCAAGAAGGCAGGGTACCTTGCCAGTGCCAAGTTACCCCATTCATCCTTAATAATCCTAGTTACAACATCAGCCTTTCCATTATAACAAAAAAAGGTTTATAAGATTTAGTAGCGGGCAAAAAAGAACAAGCTATGTTAAAACTGAACACACAAAAAAGGTAAACAATTGACAACTTATAAACAAATCAGTGTTTTAATCCCCACACTAAGATGGGAGGAACCTCCTTCACAAGGAGGGTAGGCAGCCCTGTCTGAAGCTGAAAGGCTGGATGCTCTTCCTTCCAGGAAGGATCAGGGTCAGATGTCTATTCCCTGGACCTTTATGCTGGCCATGTTCACTTGTGTGGTCAGAAAGAAAACCTACAGGCAAGAATTGGAGCAAAAGGCAGCTGTCACCTGGCACTGAGTCAATCCAAGTATCATGCAAAGAAACCGTCTCTATGCACCTGTTATGAAGCAGTTACTGATAGGTGTGGCAGTCACAGGTCACAGAGAGCCAATATACCAACCAAGGCCAATCCCATTCCCATATACAAGTGCAATAAAACAGGTAAAACCACAGTGTTATACTAAACAAAAGCAAAACTGTAAAATCTATACAGCAAAACAGCACTGCTAGGAGTGAGAAAAGACCCACATAACTGCCAAGCAATGTTCCCAGTTCCTCTCCAGATTAAACACTGTCCTAATGAAAACCCCAGCGGTCTACTGCCATGAAGAAAGTGATGTAACATCTGAGTGTAGGAACAAAACCTGTGGACTCTTTGACCTGACTCCAGACCCCACTATAAAGCAGCAGCAGGCAAGGGCTGACTGACACAAGATCAGACAGAAAGATAACGCCGAGCCTGGGGGTCAGCCTTTGATGGACAGCCATCTGCTTCTGAGGAAGGACTTGGAAGTCAGTGAACTGAGACAACAGGAATCCCCAGGAACAGGGAGACGCTTTCATCTCTTACCAAAATTAACCACAGGCCTAAAGCCTAAAAACTATGATGTGCCTGGAGTAAACCATGCTAAGTCAGATTAAAAAATGAAGACTCAAGATGAAAAATGGTATAGTGGACTCCATCAAAATTAAGCAAGTTTTCCAAAGACATCACAGAGAAAATACATAGTATAATACATTGCCTGACAAAAGACACATTGGAAAACAAATGATAATTCAATACAAAATGAAGAAAGTGCAAGACGATATATACTATGGAAAATATAGTAGATAAGAAGTCTATGGAAAGATACTTCATTGTGGTGAGGAGTAAAAGTACAGCCAGCACCAACCACTTTATACCTGTTATTCAGGACTACAACAACTAGCAATAGCATCTGCAAATATGGGCAGAAACTGGAATTCTCAGTCATGAACTTAAAATGCTGTATCTACCCTGAGAAACATTTCAGCAGTCTTAACATGCACTTAGTAAACAACCCAGAAACTCCACTACTAAATATTTTATGGCAAGAAATGAGTTCTGTCTAGACGAAGTTCTCTGTGCATGAGATGTCAGGACAGCTTTAGACATGATATCCCATTGCCAGTTAATGGATAAATGTATTGTGGTATTTTTACATATATATGTATGTGTGTGTGTGTGTATAGCCATGCAACACTATCCAGCAATAAAGAGGAAAGGATTACTGATGTGTTCAAAAAGATCAATCAATCAAAAAAACCATTCTGTTGAGCATGCCTCTATACTGGTGCAGAAACTGATATCAAATGTTCCAACTTTATAATCTTTACATTCTGGTTTCTCAACCATTAAAGTGCATGATAGACACAACAAAAGGTAGGAGATCTAGGCAGTCATCTCACATCTTGAGGACTGGGGAGATGATTCATTGGGTAAGGGAGCTACCACTAGTCCACACATTAAAGCCTGGTATGGCTATGCATGCCTGTAACTCCAGCACCAGAGTGAGAAACAGGTGGATTCCAGGAGATCACTGGCGGGCCAGCCTAGCCTAATTTGCAAGGTTCAAACTTCCAGTAAGAGAATGTGTCTGTGTCTTAAGGATAAGGCAGACAATGAAAGAGGAAGTTACCCAGTATCCTCCTCTGTATGTATGTGCACACACAGTCTTTACATTTGGTATCCACATAAATTTAAGTGAAATTTTTGTCTCTATTCTAAATTTGTGGTGTTTAGTTTATTTATTATAAAATATATAGTGTACAATTATTTACTTTGGATCTAATGTTTTTTTTTAAAGAAAAAAAAAAAACCTACTTATGAGAAACAAAATGGGATTTTGAACATAGCCCAAATTTGTATACACTTGTGCCAAGTGCCCCCTCATCCTCTATGTAGCATGTTACATACCCCGAGCCCGGCAATCATCACGCATACCTGATGCGATGACGGGGTCCTTCATAAGCTCTCTTGTTATTGGACAGATAAACTCATCGGGGATCCCGGAAGAGAGGGAGTCCTCCCTGGTCCTGAGTTCTTCGATGCTCCTCAGCACTTTGCTGCGCAGCCCTAGGGATTCTAAAAGGATGTGTGTTACATTCAGCTGCGAGTGAAAAAAATCTGTAAAATGAAGTACTACTAGGAAGTGAAATAAACTTTCAAAACTTAAGGGTGTGAGACAGATGGAGCATAAATAAAGCTGGAAAAGAAATTTGTATTATTTTTTTTCAACAATGTGTTAAATAGTCAGCCTTCTGTTACCAGACACAAATACTCAAGACAACCAAAAGGTGGAAGAGTTGACTTTGGTTTTGGTTCATGGATGAGTTGGCTCCACTGCCATTTTGGCCTGTCGAGAGGCAGAAGAGTGTAGTGGGAACACTCAGTGATGAAGCCACTTGTTTCCTGGTATCTCTAGGAGGGGAGGGGACCCAGTGTCTCTTCAGGGGGATACAATGACCTAATTTGATCCCTCTAAGTCTCAGCTCTTAAAGTTCTGTTGCTGTCATCTCCCTGCAGTAGCATAGGCTGGATGTTGAGACACATACATCCAAACCCTAGCAACCTGGAAAATGATATTTAAAAAAAAAAAAAATGCCTTGTTCTCAGAATGGAAAAAATCAAAAAGTGAAGCCTCTTGGGTGGGGGGGAAGCTTCTCATTCCTATTTATAAATGTATAATTATTTCAGTATATGAATTCTGACCTATAGTAGTTTCTTTGCACTTGCCATTCTAAATTTCTACCAGTCTATCACTTCTAAGCTCTGAGACCCACAGCACTACGCAGTATCCCAAAGGCCTGGCTATAAACAAGCCAGTGTGAGCGCACAACTCTAGTGACTGGACTCATGGCTTTTCTACTACTTTCCAAAATTGATTTTCTTGCTTTTTTATCATGCATACCTTACACTTAAAAATATGACGGTAATGTTCACAAATGCCTTAAAACATCTCAATATCAGGATGGATACTCCTTATGCAAATATACGACATAAGGAGTTATTTCTTAGGTGAACCCTGACTCTAACTCCTGGAGAGCTGGGAAACACCAGGTGAGGGACAAAGCTAGGGAACACACCCACAGTGGCTTGCTTTATTCAGACCCTTCTCAAGTACCTGGGATTTCAAGATAGATCTTACAATGAGGCTTTTCATTAACAACCTAGGAAGTGGCTTAAACATGCTGGTTAAAACACTAAATTTAAATATACTCAAGTATATTTAAAAGCCCTTTATCATCCTACATTTACAAAGGTCCTATGCCAAGAGGCTTAATGGTGTTCAGTCTCTTAGCAGGTGTGTCAAACATGGTGGACACACTGCTTTGGCCTGTCACATTCCAATACATCTTACAGTGCATAGCTACTTCCATATACTGGATGCTAAGAGAATCCAGATTTTAAACTGGCATTAGGAACCATGAAATCAAACTACAGTGACAAATAAATGCAGGCCAAACATTTCTGCATGTAAAATGCAAATGTCACATATCTGTTAACAGCTTGCCTTTTCTATCTTCAATCCCCACTCTAATTCTGCCTCAGCCCGATTTACTGTTTTACGGAAAGGGTGTGTTTCTTAAAATTCAAGACTAAAGAAAATCCTTTGTAGCTTAAAACAGTATTTGAAGATTAAAAGCTATCTCCTATAATGAAAATAAATAAAAACAGAACATTTCAACATACTTCAGAATGGCCTGGTATGTAGCCATCCTGCCTGTAATCTTAGCCTCTGAGAGGTGGAGGCACACAGTAGATCCTGACATAATACTAAAATAGCAGATATTTCAGAATGATGTGAAGGACCAGGTGCTCCAGTGAACTGTTTTCTAATTCTGTTCCTAAATTACTGAATTTGCCAATTTTCCAAACTGTAAAGCATAATATTCATATGTTGAATCCTATCACCATTGCTTCCAAGCCTTAGTCCAAGAGCAAGTATGAAACACAGTTACAAATAACATAGTGGTGTTAGAAGTAGGGCTTCAGACAAACAGGATCAGAACCCATATAAATAAGAGACTCCAGAGCGTGAACTCATTCATTCTAAGTGAAGGTACAGTAGGAAAGGCACTGTCCGTAAGCCAGAAGTTAAGGACAGGACACCAAACCTGCCAGTACCTTGATCTTGGACTTGGCAGAATGAAGAAATTAATTTAGCATTTATTAGCTTACCTAGTTTAGGGGATGTTGCCATAGCAATCCAGATACATTTACACAACAACCTAAGTCATCAAGGAAATGCAAATCAAAGCCTAAAGGAGAAACCACAACTACTGGATGGTGCTAATGACAAAAGCAAACAAGTGTTAGAGACACTAGCCTAGCTAGTTTGGTGGATGTTGCCATAGCAATCAAATTCGTTAAGGCAACAACCTAAATCATCAAGGAAATGTAAACCAAAGCCTAAAGGAGAAATCACAATTACTGGATGGTGCTAATGACAAATGCAAACAAGTATTAGAGACACTACCAGAAGCTAGAGCTTCTCTTTGTGGGGGTATGCAGAAGCCCTCCCCCATGTTAGCAGGACTGTATAATAGCAGCACTGCTTTGAGAAACAGCCCACCAACTCCAGGAATGTCATGCAGAGGACTTCCCTATGACCCACCAATTCTACTTTGAACAGATATACAAGAAAACTGAAAAGATGCTCACACAAAAGCTTGTATATGGTCACTCAGAAGATTATTCATTGTATCTAAAACATGGAACTCTTAAATTCCATCAAGTGATGATAAGCAAAAAGAAAAAGGTTAGATACAAAAGGCCACATATATTCAGTACTGGTATAAAATGACAATAATAGATACGTCTGTAGACAAAATACTAGTTCCACAAGCTGGAAAGTAATAAGGTATGGGACTTCTCTTAGCACTGATAAACATGTTCCAAAATTAAATAGTGGGTTGTACTACTATGAACATGAGAAGAACACACACACACCACTGACACATATAAACATCACTCTTAAAAGAGTCATTTTGACTGAGGAGATAGCTCAGTCAGGTGTCACACAAGCATGAGGACCTGAGTTCAATACCTAGAACAAATGTCAAAAAGCCAGGCATGGTAGCCCATGCTTGAAATAGGCTTTCTGGACAACTAGCCTCAGTCAACTGGTGAGTTCCAAGCTAATGTGAGAGCCTGTCACAAAAAACAGGGTGGCTGGCTCCTGGGCAACAACAGATATTGCTCTCTGCCCCACTCCATATGCATGCGCGCGCACGAGCGCGCGCGCACACACGCGCGCGCACACACACACACACACACACACACACACACACACACACACACACGGACTTAAGACATACAGACCAAAATATCATTTTGAAAAGTAAATTTTAAGGTATCTGAGCTATAATTAATTTTTTTTCTAATGTTACAATTACAAGCTAGGTTTAGTTACATGAAGAAATCCTTCTTCCCAAGGAGGAAAATGTCCTTTCTACAAAGGTCTAACCTGGGATACTGCTGAGCAAGAATAGTGGGCAGAGCCACAAACACAGCTAAGCTGAACAGCAGGGGAATCACTAATAATGGAAGACAGTCCATCCTTCACTGTGCTTACCAATTTTCAAATCACCAGCCAGACTTTCTTTTGTGAGATGCAATAGTTCTTTTCCATCAATGTTGTTCATCTGGAAAATACCGATAAGGTCTTCCAAACCTTGATCTCGAAGCCACGTAGAGACGTCCTCCTCTGACCAGTCTTCAATCAACTGCTTCAGCTGATCGTTCATGCTTCCTGCTTTAAAATGCACAGGCCATGTGAACAGCAGACCAAATGTTTCTTCTCTCCCACCTTTGACTGTTTCATTTCCTTTTAAGAAGTGTAGCAGGTAGTAACAGCAGTGACCTAATGCTACAGAAACACTATCCTTTAGGAATTTCTTTTTCATTGCAGAAGGACAATTGTTTGTGTAATGCTGGGAATCAAACCTTGTGCCTTGTGCGTGCTAGCCACACACTCTACCACTGACCTACACTTGTAGTCCAATCTTTCTTCACTCAATAATACTCCCACCCGTGAAGGGTCACTCTGCTAACTCTGTCACATGCAGTCATTTCTGACAGTGATAATGTTAAACTCCTAAGTTCCACACTTGTGTTCCTCGGTGAGGCTAAAGGGAGAGCCAACAAGATAAGGCTGTGGTTCCTATTCTGTACTCAGGCTACATGAACCTGAAAAACTCAGATCTAAACTCAGACGATAGAAAAACCCCAGGGCCATGATATCCATGAATGTGCTCACAAGCCTTTGCCAAAACTTACCTGTAGATTACTCTAACACTAGATTCTCCAAAATCAGTTTTAAGGTGTATTAAATTTGAGTTTGTACGATATACTGAAAAAAGACAAATGAATAGCATATCAAAGGATTTACTAAAGTTTAGGCTTAGGGGTGTAGCTCCGAGGTAGATTACTTGCCTAGCATGCACAAGGCCTCAGGTTCAATCCTCAGAACCACAAAAAAGAAGTACCCAAATGTCTGGTCAGTGCTGAGATGGTTAAGAATGCTTGGTGCTTAAGCTGGGGCTGTAGCTTACAGACATCACTTACCCACAGGACCGGAGGCCCTGGGTTTGCAGCACCACAGACCAAGGATGGGGTAAATCTCACTAACCTTGGCAAGGTGTTTCCAGGTCAAACTGCCAGATGTTCACTGTCTTGTCCATTGAACCAGTAGCAAGTAAAAGGGTGTTGGGTGCAAAGGCACAAGTTGTGACATACCTAGTTAATAAACACGGCCATTACACATTGTCTGGCTATAATGTTTTAATCATGTTAAAACAGTGAAATTAACTCAGACCTGGTATGCTGAGTCAATGTGTGAAGCACACTGTGAGTACCCTGAAAAATAACAGAGGAACTCCATTAGTCAGACAAGAGACAAGGCAGGGAGGAAGCATCACTTACAGGGCCCACAGGCCGAATGCAGTTAGTAACTAACTCACTGAGGCTCAGCGACAACAGGATAGCTGACACCCATAACTACTATTACAGCTTGTTCTACCTTGTCAGTCATCAGCATGGTGGTCTACTAACTACTTTCTTACGAAGTTTTCATACAGCGACCCCTGACATTTACCAGTCTGACCAATAGAACAGAAGCCAATTACATAACACATGAAGAAAGGTGTAGTCTTGCAGTGGTATCTGATTTGTATGTATTGCAGGATCAGTGCATGGAAGTTGCTGACACTCTGAGTACACTCAGGGGGCCAGTCAACGTACAGATACTGTCCTAGTTCGGTTTGCTACAGATGTGATAAAACACCATTTCCAAGAGCAACTTGGGGAGGGAACCGTTTATTCACTTACACTTTCAAATCACTATCTACAGGCCGTATGATGGCAGTATTTTCTCAATTGAGGTTGCTCTTCCCAGGTTAAACAGACAAGTGTATTTAGCAGGACTAGCACATGGTTTATACACAGAAGTTAATGTTATACCCATCTGTGAATAGAAACATCCCATAACAAGCTGGCAGGAAACACCACAGCTCTTTCTCATCTGGCTTGAGTGTTTGCCTCCCCCTACCCATTATACTGCTAGATCCTCCAATGACTTAACTTCTGTATAGGGAACTAATCACCTGTTGGACACCACACTCTAATGACTTATGCCTCCACCAAATGGCCACTATCACTGATGCCAACACACCGATTTTCTCTTGAAGATCATTCCCATCAACTGTATCTTTGTGAAATATAAAATTTCTGTTTTTATTTATACTCATACAATTCATCATTTACCCATAAACCTGCCCCAAACTCCTATTTTTCCAAGCCTGTGGTAACGTACTCTTTCTTCTGCTGGTCCCTAAATCCACCCTGTACTCTAGGAATCACATGTAGGCCACATTCAGCCACAGCCTGCTGCTACAGAAGGTGGGTATATGAATTTCTGAACACTGGTGCTCTCTGCCTGTGTTTCCCATGATTAGATTTAAAACCCCATCCATCATAAAGACATTATTGAAATATTTAAGGTTTTCCCAAGTATTTTACTATTTCAGCATTTAAGAATGCATGTTATATTCTTGGACACAATAAATAGATATACTAAAAGTAAATGGGGGTGGAAAGATGGCTCAGCCCTTAAGAGCACTGACTGCTCTTTCAGAGGTCCTGATTTCAGTACCCAGCACCCACACAGTGGCTCACATCTCCAGTTGCAGGGGACCTGACACCCTCGCACAGACATACATGCAGACAAAATACCGAGGCATATAAAATAAGAATAAATAAATTGAAAAATATGTTATATAACTAATTGTTTATATAAACAATTTATATAGTTCGCACACAAGATCTAAAGTACTTACCATATCATATACGATGACAGACTTATCCACTGACCTTAAAAAAAAAAAAAGCAAACAATAGGTGAAAAGTTCTATAAAAACCAAGTCCACCTTTTTGGAAAGGGTGGAAGATTGACAGGTGGAGAGGGCATCTGGGTGGGGCTCTTCTTATAGGAAAAAGAATTGTAATACAAAGAAAACTATGACACTGTAACAAAGCAAGAGTCTTTCTGCCACCATGATACACACTGCAAGGTCACTAAGACCAGGCAACCAAATATTAACAATTGGCACTGACCTCAGAATCTCTGTCATAGATTCAAAATAAGAATTATGCTAGACATAATATATAAGCTCACTTATTTGTCCTGAATTCTGTGAATTACAGGTTATCATCTCTGGAATATCTAAAATTCTTATGGAAAAGTCCATTATTCAAGCATCTTCAAAAAAAAAAACATGAAGGAGTGACATCAGCAACATGGCAGATGGAACTTCCCAGTTTCATAGCAAAATCAATGTGGACAAGTATCCAAAAAAAAAAAAAAACAAAAACAAAAACACAATACCTGCACAGGGGTTTCAGAACTGAGGTGTGCTGCTTACAGCACTATGAATGGACATTAGTACCACCTTAAACATTGAAGATGTCATAAAAGACAAATAAAAAATCCATCATCCAAAATACACACATATGCACGCACAGTCATGAGCATGTGCACACACATGCACACACACTTGTACGTGTACACACACATTCAAGTTTCTATAGGGAAGACAGCCAGTACCACGAGCAGCTGTAGAGTCCATTCATGCTAAGTTTATACTGAAAACAACCCTCCCACCTGGTCCTCATGACACTGTGTCTCAAACATACATATTCTTTGGATGTCAAGCCAACAACAGAATGATAAGGAAATTCCACTCTCAGAAACCACCGTCACATGCAATGTAACTTGAGAAGCAGGATCACAGTTAGTGACTTATGTGAGCACTGGAGTGGGACAACAGTCAGTGAAGGTGTAATGAGAATAAAGGAAAGACAAGGACTGAGACTTCAGCAATGTTGTCTTAAATCACCTTCTGCTGCTCATTATAGAGTAAGATGGGGTTGGCTGATTCATAACCATAAGACCCCAGCCTCTATCTATATACAAAATAAAATAGAAACAAGTGCGTAGGGAGAAAAGGAACATGCCTTTGGGGGAGTAGGATTCTTGGCCTCCTGGCTCTCTTTTCTACTTGGCAGACAGAAATAAGAGACAGAGTTTGGAGAAAGGCAATGGGCCATGTGGCTCAGCTCCTGCTGTATTTTTAGTTTTCCGATCTGCCTAATTATGTGTGGGAGTCGTGCTGTTCAAAAGCTGGAGAACAAGTTGAATGCACGGCATCTGTTTTTTTTGTTTTGTTTTTTTTTTTTTTTTTCCTCTCATTTTTCAACACAAGAAAATAGTTTTTTTTTTTTTCAACTCAAAACTCTTTATATATTTGTGAGCCTTTTAAAAATTGGCTTCTGAAGTGTGAGCCACGCAGTCCTGACTGGGCAGGTGGAAGCATGAGCTGGGTAGCACAGAGGTATCAACAGCAGCAGCGTATATACAGTATAACCTTCTTATAGTAAGAAGCTCCTCTGGCTGCTCTGTGTATGTAAAACCCAGCAGCATCAGCAGTCTCCAGAGCATCAGAACCACCTGCACCTCGAGGAGCCATCAACAGAGAAGGGGCCCTGCCCATTCCTGGAGAAGCAACCAACGGAGTCACAAGCCCCAACTAAGCCAACTGGAGAAAGAGGGGACCTATGAAGCACAGGCTCCACCTGTACCACCTGAAGGAAGAGATAGGTGGACAACAGTGTAAAAACACACTCAACATAAAGATCGATACAACACCTCCAACACCTCCAGAAACTAGTGGCTCTACAGCAGCAAGACCTGACAATCCCAAAGCAGATGAAGCAGAAAAAAATGACCATTAAAAAAAACTTTGTGGAGATGATTGAGACCCTTAAACAGGAAATGAAAAACTCCCTTAAAGAAATGGAGGAAAAGACCAAAAAAAAAAAAAAAAAAAAAAAATGGAAGAAATCAACAAATCCCTTAAAGACCACCAAGAAAAATCAACCACATGGCAATGGTTCAAGACTTAAAAACTGAAATAGAATCAATAAAGACAACACAAATCAAGGAAATTCTGGAAATGGATAGAAAACAGAATACAAGAGATGGAAGAGAGGATCTCAGGCATTGAAGACAAAATAGAGGTAATAGATTCATTGGTCAAAGAAAACGTTAAATCCAACAAGTTCTTAACACAAAATATCCAGGAAATCTGGGATACCATGAAAAGACCAAACCTAAGAATAATAGGGATACAAGTAGAAGAAATAAAGCTCAAACGCACATTCAACAAAACCATAGGAGAAAACTTTTCCAACCTAAAGAAAGTACAAGAGGCAAAGCCAAGTCCCCTTACCACATAACATACAGGATTTAGAAAGAATATTAAGAGCTGCAAAGGAATAAAGTAAATTAACATATAAAGGCAGACCTATCAGAATTATACCCAACTTCTCAATGAAAAAATGGAAGCCAGAAGGTCCTTGACATTCTGCAGAAGTAGCCCAGACTACTATACCCAGCAAAGCTTTCAATCACCATAGATGGAAAAAACAAGATATTTCATGCAGAACCAGATTTAAAAAATACTTATCTACAAATCCAGCCCTACAGAAAGTACTAGAAGAAAAACTCCAACCCTCCAAAAAAAGTTAGCTACACCCACAAAAACACTGGCAAAAGATAATCCCACACCAACAAATTCCAAAGAAGGGAAAAACACACATAATAGCACCAACAAAAATAACAGAAAGTAGCTATCACTGGTCATTAATATCCCTTAATATCAATGGACTCAATTCTCCTATTAAAAATAAACAGGCTAGTCTGGTGGTGGTGGTGCACGTAGGCTAATAGATTGGATACAAAAATAGAATCTACCCTCCTGCAGCATACATGAGACACACATCAACTTCAAAGACAGAGTAAAGGGTTGGAAAAAGATTCTCCAATCAAATGGACCTAAAAAACAAGTTGGTGTGGGTATCCTAATATCTAACAAAATACACTGCAAACTGAAAGTAATCAAAAGAGATGAAGAATATTTCATATTCGTTGAAGGAAAAATCTATCAAGATAAAGTCTCAATTCTGAACATCTATGCCCGAAATACAAGGAAGGGCACTTTTGTTTGTAAAAGAAACCTTATTAAAGCTTAAATCACACATTAAGCCACACACACTAATAGTGGGAGACTTAAATACTTCACTCTCACCACTGAACAGGTCTACCAAACACAAATTTAGCAGAGAAATAAAGGAACTAACAGATGTTATGACTCAAATGGGCTTAACAGACATCTATACAACATTCCACCCAAACACAAAAGAATATATCATCTTCTTAGCAACCCATGCACCCTTCTCTAAGATTGACCACATACTTGGTAACAAAGCAAACCTCAACAGATACAAACTAAGTGAAATAACCCCCTGCATCTTATCAGATCACAATGGCTTTAAGTTAGAGTCAACAACAACACTAAGTGCAGAAAGCCCACAAACTCAAGGAAATTAAGCAATGCTCAATTCAATCACCACTGGGTCAAGGAAGAAATAAAGAAATTAATTACTTCCTAAAAATTCAATGAAAATGGATGCATAACATACCCAAACTTATGCAGCACAATGAAAGCAGTGCTAAGAGGTAAGTTATTAACACTAAATGCCCACATAAAGAAACTGGAAAAATCCCACACTATTGAATTAACAGAACAACTGAAAACTCTAGAACAAAAAGAACCAAGCTCACTCAGGGGAAGTGGACAGCTGGAATAATCAAATTGAGGACTAAAATCAATAAAACAGAAACAAACAAACAAAAACTACAAAGAATCAATGAGACACAGAGTTGGTTCTTTCAACAAGATAGATAAGTCTTTATCCAAACTTACCAAGAGGAAAAGAGAGAGTATGCAAATTAACAAAATCAGAAATGAAAAAGAGGACATAACAATAGACATTGAGGAAATCTAGAGAATCATTAGGTCATACTTTAAAAACCTATACTCCACTAAATTGGAAAAAGGAAAAGGACAATTTTCTAGATAAGTACTACATATCAAAATTAAATCAAGACCAGATAAACAAATTAAGTAGACCTATAACCTATAAAGAAATAGAAGCAGTCATCAAAAGTCTCCCAACTAAAAAAAGCCCAGGGCCAGATTGTTTCAGAAAAGAATTCTACCAGAATTTCAAAAAAGAACTAAAATCAATATTCCTCAAATTGTTCCAGACAATAGAAACAGAAGGAACATTACCAAACTCTGTTTACGATGCTACAGTTACACTGATACCCAAACCACACAAAGACACAACTAAGAAAGAGAATTATAGACCAATGTCCCTCATGAACTTAGATGCAGAAATGCTCAATAAAATAATGGCAAATCAAATCCAAGAACACATCAGAAAAATCATCAACCATGATTAAGTGCCTCCATCCCAGAGTTGCACACACATTTGTCAATGTAATTCACTATATAAACAAACTGAAAGAAAAAAAGAAAAAACACATGATCATCTCATTAGATGCTGAAAAAGCCTTTAACAAAATCCAACACTCCTTCATGATAAAAAGATCTTGGAGAGATCAGGGATACAAGTAACATTCCTAAACATAATAACATAATAAAGGCAATATGCAGCAAGCCAACAGCCAGCATGAAACTAAAGGAGAGAAAAATCAAAGTAATTTCACTAAAATCAGGAACAATACAAGGCCGTCCACTCTCTACATATCTATTCAATATAGTACTCAAAGTCCGAGCTAGGCCAATATGACAACAAAAGGAGATCAAGGGGATACAAATTGGAAGGGAAGAAGTCAAACTTTCGCTATTTGCTGATGATATGATAGCATACACAAGTGACCCCAAAAATTCTGCCAGGGAACTCCTACATCTTATAAATACCTTCAGTAATATGGCAAGATACAA